TCCCATGTGAGCGGGACACTCTGGGTAGCTTGCTGGGCTCTCCAAGAGGGATGGAGGAATCAAACCTGGGTCAGCCATGTGCAAGGCAGACACCCTACCCACTGTGCTATCGCTTCAGCCAAGTCAATAAATTATATTTATATGTCCTGGGGCCACACCTGGTGGTACTAAGGGCTTACTCATAGCCCTGTGCCCAGGGTTTACTCCTAGGTAAACTCAGGGCCCATACACAGTGCTAGGGATCAAATCCAACAGAGCATCATGCAAAGTTTCTTATTCACTGTACTATCTCTCTGATCCCTAAAATAATTTTTTGTTGTTGTTTTGTTTGGGTCACACCTGGTGATGCCCAAAGATTACTCCTGGCTTTGCACTCATGCTCAGGGGACCATATGGGTCTCCAGGGATCAAACCAGGTTGGCTGTGTACAAGGCAACATCTTCCCACTGTACTATTGCTTCAGCCCCCTAAAATAAATCTTAATAATAATTAAGAATCTTAAAGTGACATCAGAAAACTGCCCAAGACATTTAGTAGGGGCTGAAGAGATAGTACAGTGGGTCAAGTGCTTGCCTTGACCCATGTTCGGTCCCCAGCATTCCATATAGTCCTGATTCCTGCCAGGATTAAGTTCTGAGCATCACTGGGTGCCCCCCCCCCCAAAAAAAAGTCCCTGGTAGCTCACTGTGATTATATAGTGGTTAGTACTCTGCATTGTGACTGCAGCAACCTCAGTTCAAATCCAAGTCCCAGCATTGTGGGAACAGTGGCACATGGTGATACTACTGAGATTAATTTATTTTTTAACTGGATGCTGACTTGGGGTCCTGAGGCATCTCTGTGGCATGTTGCTTGTGTTGCTCTCTTCCGAGAGATTATTTCTGAGTCTCTGGATCATGGCCATTAATGAGCTTATTTGGTGCCAGAGGCAGTTCATGGGCATGATTGCCAGGCTGCTGGAAGCATAGGGAGAGGGTAGTGGGGAGGTCGCCCATTCCTGACTCCATGTGAGCCTAGAAATTTCAGTCACTAGGTCCACATTACCTGGGTTTTTCAGCAGATTTCCTCATGGATGAGGCTTGTTTGAGCCTGTGGAAATCGGCCATGAGCATGGCAGTGAATGAGTTCTGGAGGCTCTTGGCTGCTGGGGCTAGTTGGGTCAGGTCGGGGGACTCACCGGCCCCCTCTGTGGTTTGCCCTGGATGACAGCTTGGTGTGAGGTCTGGAGGCATCTCTGCAACATGTTAATCAGGTTCTGCTCATTTTTAAAACATATTTGCTAATTTAAGATATTTTTCCCTCTCATTTACCCCTTCCCATGTCATGCTTTCACACACTTGGTTGACTGCATTGTAGAGAGTACACTTTGCACCAAGGATCCTAAAGAACAGTTGTTGCCTGGATTATATTTGGCATGTGTGGGAGAGTTAGGCCTCAAACTCATGACTTCATGCCCTTTTGCATTTGGTAAAGCACCTGCATTACAACACTGAACTATTCCCTGACCTTCATGTTGTCTATTATTTCATAGAGTTGTAGTTCTCTACATATTCTACATAATAACCCAGTATCAGATACACACTTTGTAGATGTTTTCTCTCATTTCATGGATTGCCTTTTGACTCTGTTAAATATCTTCTAATACCCAAACTTTATTTTGATGAAGTTCGGGGTTTTTTTTTAAATTTTTTTTTAGGAGTAAAAACGGGGTTTATTTAGACCAGCATGCTGGGGCTCCGCAGCATACCCCAAAATGGGCAGTGGCTGAGAGCCCCGAGCTTCTTCAAAGGGGATCTTATATAGACCTTCACTGGCCGTTACAGTAAGGCCCGCACATTTCATAGCCAATAGATTTGTAACAACATATACTTTCTTAACCAATCCATTTAAAAGTACCTCACTCCTTAGCCTATATATTCAAAGATAAGCATTTACATACATCAATTGTCAGCACAAGCAAGGTTGTAGCCGGAATCATTAAGCCTTAGGTAATCTCCCTTGACCATCCACATTTTGAGTTACCCAAGTCAGCAGGGTGCTTTAGTGAGACAATGCACTCCAGGAAAGGGCAATTTCCCCCAACCACTGCATCCTGAGTTATCCTTTACCCAGGTCTGCAGGGTGCTTTACTGAGACAATACATTTCAGGAACAGTAAATACACCTGAATCCTGTCACACTTGGTTTAGAAAGAAGTTATGCCCTGTTCACTTTCCAAGTCCCCTCTCCCCCAGGTGCAAAGCAGCCAAGCAGTTTTACAGAAAGCAATGTTGCAAGTTAGCTGAAGCACACAAAAATTTGATGCCCTAATATGGATTCTTTCATTCCCCACTTCTTTTAATGAGCATCTCTAATCCTAGAGATCGTGGGGGGATCGGGGCCTTATTCAAGGACCATGGTTAAGAGCAGCTTTCCTCAGTGGGTAGAGTTCGGTATTGTTGCCCAGAATTAGGAGGATCTACAAGACTCAAACCAATTCTCCCAGGCCTCTCCGATGTCGTTCAAGGCCTTCCAGTAGCTTGGCTATAGAGTCTCTGACAACCTCAGTGTGGTCTGTGTAGAAACAGCATCCCTCCACCAGATCAGAGCAGAGCCCTCTGTTCTTGAGGAACAACAGGTTGAAGGTTGAGTTGTCTCAGGTTTTGGGAGACTATCTCGAACAGGGATGTGAGAGATTTCTCGATGAGGTCTTAAAAAGAGTTAAAGCAACAGAAACCAAAGCAACATAATGCCATACCCATCTCTATCATTAAAACAATGAAAAGGATTAACTCTACAAACAGGTTTGGTTGATAATATAACTTCCTGTGTCCAGATTTTTCTAATGGACACAGAAACACCTAGCCATTCTCTGGCTTTCTCAGTACAGATTGGAAAAGCTTCTGCCCATACACTGAAGCTATCAATGAGAACCAACAGATATTTATACCTTGAACATATGAACATTTGATCATTTGTATAAGGTCAAGCTGCCGATTCACCTCTAAGTTCCTTGATGCTGAACAGGTGTTAGGAGAGGAGGCTCAGGATTTCCACTAGGTTCATTAATGGCACAGAAAGCACAGTTCTGAATTACTTCTACCTTACTTGCTGTTCAGTTCCTCCCCATGGAAGATGGTTCTCACTAGTGTTAAAACATAATCCTTTAATAATATTCCATTGCATTGGTCCAGGAGTTGTTAATCCCATGATGCAACAGAAATTAAGAGCTGATAATATTCTTGTTCTCTCTAAATGACTGTTCACAGAAAATGAGATGCAATAAAGTATAGAAAGAAAATTCACAGTATTTTAGAACTAGATATTAATCTACTCTAATTTAACCAGTTTAGTTGCCCTTCTCGACACTTTGGCCAATTCAGACCGGAGGAAAGCAATTCTGCACTGTGAGATGAGCTTCACCCTAGTAAAGCTCTGGCTTTCAATGCTCGTATCAGACTAGTGACAGCATGTATAACATTGAGTTCCTTTATAGATTAGGCTGTTTTACCTACAGACAGTAAACCAAGTTTTATCTAAATTTCCCCAAAGGGGGTACCCACTGTTCTACTGTTCTGTCTTTCAAGTCCCCCCCAAGAGTACTTTATTTTTTTCCCTTGCAGTAATACAATTTATATAAATTTAACTTAATGAAAAAAACATAAAAATTTACCCAAAATTTTGTTGATCCAGAGAAGTATTTGCATGAAAATATAAGATCACTGCATAATTCAGGTTTGAAGCATGAGACTGATACAACAATGCATACTACTTGCCTTTATAGTTAAGCATTAAAATCTCTAGGATGTCAAGATACCTCTATTATTTTCTGTTGTTTGACTTTTAAAATATCTTTCTTAGTAATGAAAAGTATGAATAAAACATTAAATTCACTTCCACTCCTATCAAATTGTTTTCGATCTCAAGTGAAAAGGCATCAGTTAGGACTTGATTACAGAAATAAAATAATAACATTTAAATGGGAGAGAGTGGTTTCCCCATACATATTATTAGCCCCTGAAAAGTATACAAATGCATTGTTGAGCTGGTGTGGCACCTGCAGAGACACCCCTCTGCTTTCTTGGCTTAGAGCTTGGCCCTCTGCTTAAAAGTCTCCTTCAACTTTTTCACATCTGAAAGGTCCCCTGGTCCCTCAGGCGAATTGTCATGATCTGGTATCTGAAATGACTGATTATACAGGGACTGGCCCCCGTCCACGTCCACCAACTGTCTGGTGATATAGAAAGCTGCGGGTGAGAGCAGGAAGCATACCAAGGGAGAGATCTCCTGAGGAACTCCAAGTCTTCTAGCAGGGATTTTCTCAAAATACCCTTCAGATATGTCTCTTGCCAAATGACCGTAGTTGTTGAAAGCAGTCTGGGAATAAATTATTCCCGGGGCAACACAGTTGTTTCTCACTCCACTGCTAGCCCATTCGATAGCTAAGGTTTTGGTGAGGTTGTAGATACTCTCTCTGTCAGCTCCAGTGTGTGCAGCTACTGGAAATCGATTTTTAGTCAGGACAAAGATGTTGGCAGTCGACCCTCCATGCTCCTTCATCCAGGATTTGTAAACTGCTTTGCACATATAGAAGATTGGTTTCAATCACAGCATTCCATCCCTTTGAACTGATGTTTTCAGCGAGAAACATGAACTGGCCTCCTCCATTGTTTACCAAGAAATCAATCCTACCATGAATACCTAAAGTAGATTTGACCAAATTATTCACCTTCTCTTCTTTACGGATGTTGCATTGTAGAGGAGTGATTTGAACCTGGCTATTAGCCAGTAGGTTGACCTTCATTTCATCTGCAGCAGATTCCAAAGAGTATTTTAAAAAAATGCATTAAACAGAATTTAGAATCAACTTTGTAGGGTGGTGGTGATGGTGGTGATGGTGGTTGTTTACCCCTTGATAACAATGCAATCTAATGTAATATATAGAATTAGTAGTGTGTGTTAGTGCTGGAGTTTGAGTTAACTAATTAGCCTTGATCTGCTGCTTCTGTTTTATTATTGCAGGTTCAATGGAAACCACCCTTGGGATCTGGATGCCTGTGTAGCCATTCTGCCACACCTGTGAATTGCAATGAGTGGAGGAGGAGAACAGCCGGATATCCTCAGTGTTGGAATCCTGGTCAAAGAAAGATGGAAAGTGGTAAGTATATTTCAGGGGGGAGGGGAGAGAGAGAGAGAGAAAGAGAGAGAGAGAGAGAGAGAGAGAGAGAGAACATGGTGAGGGGAGAAAGAAAAAGCACAGTGAAGAGAGACTAAGTCGAAGGAGGTGTATTTTGACATTTTGATAATCCATATATTGCTTATATACCTAAAGCAGTAACTTCTGTTTATTTTTCTATGATAAGTTCTGCTCATATTCCATTTCTTCCACTTTCTTGTATTAAATTTTCCTAACATTTAATAGTTAATGCTTTTGAGTAAGGTAAATGATAGTATACATCGATCAAGAAAAATTAAGAACTGATAACAGTAAACTGGATTTTTTCTTATTAAGGAAAAATAACAATAGATAAAAATAAACCAATATAATAAATTCCCTGTACTCATGCCCTACTGCTGCCATCATTTGTTGGTCAGTGTTAATTTCTTTAACCTCCTGACAGAATATTTTGAAGCAGTTCTTTCACCGTAGCATTTCTGCTCTGTGATCTTAAGTATTTATCTCTGAAGACAATGCTTCTTTTAAAAATGTACTAACATAGTTGTTATACTTAAAAAAAAACACTGTTTTCTTAATATCACAAAGTATTCTACAGTTTTTACATTCTATGATTGTACTGTTTTTGTTTTTTCTTTTTGGGCCACACTTGTCCATACTTAGGGGCTATTCCTGGCTCTGCACTCAGGAATTACTCCAGTGCTTTGGGGACCATATAGGATAAACACAGGTTGGCTGCATGCAAGGCAACTGCTCTACCCACCATACTATCACTCCAGCCCCATGTTTCATACATTTTTAACAGCTTGAATCTAGATCTCAGTAACATCTAGATTTTTGCATCTGGTAGATAGCATTTGCATTTCTTTTAGTTACGAGGTTTCTAGGGGCAGAGCGATAGCACAGTGGGTAGGGCATTTGCCTTGCACACAGCCGACCTGGGTTCAATTCCTCCTCTTGGAGAGCCCTGAAAGTTACTGAGAGTTATCCCACCCACACAGCAGCACCTGGCAAGCTCCCTGTGGTGTATTCGATATGCCAAAAACAGTAACTACAATCCTCACAATGCAGACGTTACTGGTGCCCGTCGAGCAAATCAATGAACAGTGGCAGGATAGTGCTACAGTGCTACTAGGTTTCTGTTAACTTTTTATCTCCCCCCCCCCCACACACACACACGCGCGCGTGCGCGCGCACTCAGCTGTGCTCAGGGCTTACTTCTGGCTCTGCATTTAGGGATTGCTGACTGTGCTGGGGGACCATGTGGGGTAATGGGGATTGAACCTACTTTAGCATGTGCATAGCAAGTGCCTTATCTGCTGTGCTATCTTTCCGAACTTCTAAAATTTATTATTATTTTTTTTTCATTTTTTATAATTTTATTTATTGAATCACCGTGAGAGCAGTTACAAAGCTTTCGGGTCTAAATCTCAGTCATACAATGAAACACCCATACCTTCACCAGTGCCCATTCTCCACCCCTAACAACCCCAGTATACCCCCATCCCTGTGGGCAGATGATTTCCACATTACTCTCTCTACTTTGATCACATTCATATTTTGACACCAGACCCACCATTATTATTTGAGATTTTACCCCAACACTCAGATCTGCTGAAAAGGCAGCAGTAGACAATTTGTTTTTTGTTGCTGGTTATGAATAACATGATGTCACGTGGCTGCAGTAGTGGCCACGTGATTTTAAAATTATGAAGTTTTAACACTTAAATCTGGAGGGATTTCTGCCAAAACCTGTTGGGTTCCGAGATTTACTCCTGAGTCTCTGGGATCATAGCTGTTAAGCAGCTTAATCAGGAGCCAGAAAGGCCGTTTGTGGGCGATGACTTGAGGTCTCGTTTGGGTGGGGAGGACAGGACCGGCTCCACCTCCATCCCATGAGACCCAAAATGTCTCATCACTGCGGGCCCAAACCTGACTGTCCAATGGCCTCTGGAGGATGACAGCCACCGGAGCTGCCAGGGGAAAGCAGGCGGAGGGACAACACCTTTTTCCCCTTGGGGTGGCCCGGCAACAGTAACCTACTGCTTGGTCTGGACGCATTTCTTCCAAAAGCCGCTGGGTTTCAAGATTTGTTTCTGAGTCTCTGGGATCATGACCCTTAAACAGCTTGATCAGGAGCCAGAGAGACCGTTCATGGGCGATGACTTGGGGTCTCGTTGTGGAGGGGAGGACAGGACCGGCTCCACCCCCATTCGGTGAGGCCCTGTGTGTCTTGTCACTGTGAGCCCAAACCTGACTGTCCAGTGGCCTCTGGAGGATGGCGGCCACTGGGCTGCCAGGGGGAACAGGCCAAGGCATGAAACCTATTCCCACCTGGGTTGGCCTAGCACCAGTAACCTGCTGCAGGGACCGGACACATTTCTGCTAAGAGCCGCGAGCCGCTGGGTTTCGAGATTTGTTTCTGAGTCTGTGGGATCATGACCATTAAGCAGTTCAATCAGGAACCAGAGAGGCCATGCCTCCAATTATATAGCTGAGTCGGAGGTGGTTTGTGGGTGTGTTTCCCACATACCTAACTTTTGGCCGTTTACTTTCTTGGTAAACTTTGCCCCAAGTTTTTGGGGTCTGGCCAAAGGCACGGCAGCAATTTTGGGGTATCTGGAAGTCTGAAGGCGCCATCATGCTGCTGATGCACTCGCCTCACAGGTACAGATTTACCTGCTGGCGGTACCATACCCCCTAAAATTTATTATTATTTTTTAAGAAACTAGGTCATTTGCCTTTAGAATTTCCCATGATTTAGAGTTCTATGACTTTTCCTTCCTTGTGGTGTTAACATAATTCTCTAACTGCTGCAATTTATGTAAAGGGTTAGTTATATACAGAAGCTTAATTATGTCTGTTTTTAGGTTTGTTTATTGAGGTGTAGGAGGGTTTTTTTTTTGTTTGTGTTTTTTTATAGAGGGCACTGTGAATTTTCACTTGGAGATACGGAATACGGAATGTCTTATTGTCCATCTTTTTTGTGGTTTCAGCATTACTGATTTTCATTACCTAGGTCTGTTTAGTTTTTTTTTTTTAAATCATCCCTTCATTTATTAGTTGAAGTGTATCTGTAAAGAGAAACTTTTTATCAACTATTTGTTCATTCTTCAACACAACCTGATTAGGCAAGCAGAATAAATACTTGATTTAAAATTTTTTTTTCAATATTCAAAACAATGAATTGGTTCTCTGACTTCCTCTGAAGGTAAACTTTTTTTTTTAGGAGATAGAGAGTTAGTGTAGATAGTAAGGCACTTCAATACAGGTTCATTCCACCTCAGTATATTGGATAGCTCTCTTGAGCACTACTTGGTGTGGTTCTGCCCAAAACTGAAACCATTAAAAAAGCCATTGGGTCTGGAGCGATAGCACAGCAGGTAGGGCATTTGCTTTGCACATGGCTGACCCAGGTTTAATTCCCGGCATTCATATGGTACCCTGAGCCTACCAGAAGAGATACCTGAGTTCTGAGTCAGGAGTAAGCCCTGAGCATTGCTAGGTGTGGCCCAAAACCTGCCCAAAAGTAAAAGTGAATGAACTTTTAAAAGTATAATTAAGAATTCATGGATTTAAATATTTGTGTATTTCACTGTATTCTTGCGTTCCTTACTAATGTTCAAATTAACTTGACTAACTTGTCTCCTGAGTCCTTTTTAAATGACTCTGAAATCTTTTCTTTTTTTCTGTAGTTATGAGGATTCAATCCTGGGTCCTTGCACACATGAAATATTTGCTCTACCATGGAACCACTTTCCCAGACTCATAGTTCTTAATATATTCTTACCCTCAATTTGGAATCTGCCATATTTCCCCTTCTTAAAACGATCTATTTTTGGTTTTGATCTATTTAAATATATTTTATTTTTCAATCTATTTGTAAACAGACTTTTTCCATTAGCAAAGGTATGTTATTCGTTTCTTTAACCTATTACAGATAGGAAAAAGATTGCCCTTTAGAAAAAACACATTGTAAGGGAAATAAAGAAATACAGTTAATTCCTGTGGCATGTGTTTTACTGATTATATAAAAAGTAAACTTTAAAAATTTACCCGAGGGGGCTGGAGCAATAGCATAGTGGGTAGGGCGTTTGCTTTGCACGCGGCCCACCCAGGTTTGATTTCCAGCATCCCACATGGTCCCCTGAGCACAGCCAGGAGTAATTCCTGAGTGCAGAGTCAGGAGTAATCCCTGTGAATTGCCAGATGTGACCCTCCCCCCAAAAAAATGAAAAAAGAAAAAAAAAAAAGAAAAATTTACCTGACTAAATACAGGAAAAGAACCATACCACAATCATGGGCCATTGGAAGAGAACCAACCTTTTATCATCTTTTTTATGTCAAACATGAATTTGCCTTGCCTTTTTTCAGTAAATATATCAAGAAATATATTTTAATGTATCTTTACCAAAATGAAGATATGGTTACTTCAACCTGATAATTAGAGTTAACACATATATGGAACTCACCCCAGAATTTGGGATAGTGCATAGTAATGCATAGGAGCACTTTCAAAAAGAAATCATAGGCTTATGGTTGATGGTATTTTGGGTTATTTCTTGTTATATAACTGTCCCAAAATTTTGAGATTTGTGAGGCTACAGTGATAGTACAGCAGGTAGGGTGCTTGCCTTACATGTGATTGATCACACATTGTTCCCTGAACCCTGCCAGGATTGATCCTTGAGCACAGAGCCAGGATTAAGCCCTATCACTGCCAGGTAAGACACAGAAAACAGACAACAACGAAGTTTTGAGATTTAAAATGGCTTTGTAGATTAAGGATTGGGGACAAGTTTGTTTTAATATTTGTCTTAGTCACGTGACACTAGCAAGATTGGTTGGTCACAGAATCTACTTCCAAATGATTTGTCTGGTGTCTCATGGCCTTTTCAGTCCTAGTTTCTTCCCCTTCCCTCTCCCCCTCTCCTACTGTGATAGCACCTTTAATAAACTATCTGCATAGAACTGTGACTGCTCTAGAATGGTCACACTTTTTATATGATGGCGGGCTCCTTAAGGCACAAGAAATAGAAGGTGTAGCACTGGTTAATGACTATTCTCAGAAATTAGGCAGTGTCGGTTTGTTGTGTTCTATTAATTAAAAGTTACAAGATCCACTCAGATTTTAGGAAATAGGGAAATAGACTATACCTCTTACTGAACTGCACTGTCACAATGAAGAACAAAATGATGGAGGTTATTATTAAGGCCCTCTTTAGAATCTATTATATGCTTCAGTCAAGCCTTACTTTTATTCCTTCCCTGATCCATAAGCACTTTCACTATACTGTTTAACTATAAAATTGTATGTATATCTCAGAAGTATCGATGATGTCTTAGGATTTTGTAGAGCTCAATTTAAAGAAGTGGCTGCTTTAATCTTGTTGAAATGATTGGGACTAGACTAAAGACCAAAATTTATTTCAGCATAGATACCATTTGGCAAGATTTTTCTGGTGAGACAAAACATGAGACAATGTTTCTTCACTTTCTGGAAATAAAAAAGATCTTTAGCTAGAGAGAAGACAACTCAAGGTGCTGGACGATATGATTTGCATACAGAAGCCCCAGGTTTGATCCCAGATAACAGATGGTGCCCCAGCGCCAGCCAGCATGACTCTTGAGCACCCCCAAAACACTTCTAACAAAATAAATAAAATAAGCTTTGGTATTGTTTGAGTTTTTAAAGTTATTCTAGCTTGTTTATTTTTGAGCCACACCCAGCAATGTTCAGAGGTTACTCCTGACTCTGAACTCAGAAATCATTCCTGGTGGTGCTTAAGGTACTGTATGGGGTACCCGGGATGGAACCCAGGACAGTGGTATGCAGGGCAAGTGCTGTACCCAAAACTATGTATGTATATATTTGGTCCAACTCTTGCTGTGGTCTAACTCTCTAGCCATAAAATATAATCATAAGTACCAATCAGGGCCCATCAACCAATAAGTTAACTGAAATAAAGTTCTGGAATTTTATTTTCATTTCATTTCATTTCATCATCCTGTTAATCGTCGATTGCCTCGAGCAGGCCCCAGTAACGTCTCTTTCATCCTAGCCCTGAGATTATATTCACGGCTCTTTAGGAGAATGAGACCCATCATTGTTACTGGTATTTGGCATATTTGGTAGGCCACGGGGAGTTTGCCAGACTCTGCCCTGTGGGCAGGCTACATTCGATAGCCTGCGAGTTTGTCCAAAGTAGGAATGAGATAATAAGATGTCGCGCGGCCGCGAAAGCTCAACCGGCTCCCCTCCAAGGGACTCCGGGAAGGAACACCCAGGCGCGGGGGCAGAGACTGCACTGTTCTCGTCCGGGATCTGGATTTTATAGTCTCAGAGTCTTGGCCGCTGATGGGATTACACGGCGCCAGGGGGCCAGGTGGTGGGTGTGACCCCCGCCTACTGGAATTTGGAGGATCTGGGTGGAAGATGCTCGACTCCAATTCGAGTAGGCTTGGAGGTCTCGGCCCCGGAACCCGCGTGGCTTTGTCCCTCTGCCAGTACCTTCATGTGTGCGGAGAGTGGTCTCAGCATGGTGGTGGCTGGTCCTGGAGGTCTCCGGCTGCCGTAGCCCTGGCCGGGGCGGGGAGGAAAGCTCAACCCGCTCCCCTCCAAGGGACTCCGGGAAGGAACACCCAGGCGCGAGGGCAGAGAATTTTATTTTATTTTACTATTTTGGGGCGATAGCACAGCCGGTAGGGTGTTTGCCATGCACGCAGCCGACTCGGCTAACCTGGGTTCAATTCCTCCGCCCCTCTCGGAGAGCCTGGCAAGCTACTGAGAGTATCTCGCCTGCATGGGAAAGCCTGGCAAGCTACCCGTGACGTATTCGATATGCCAAACACAGTAACAACAAATCTCACAATGGAGATGTTACTGGGCCCACTCAAGCAAATCGATGAACAATGGGAGGACAGTGCTACAGTACTACTATTTTTGAGTGTTTTGTTTGTATTTTTACTTTTTTGCACCATGCCCAGTGGTACAGAGTGCAGTGAAAAAACTGTGTTCTTCACTCTGTGCTTGGAGTCCCTTCTGGCGATGCTCATGGGACCGTGTGGTGCTAGGGATTGAATGTGGGTCTGCTTGCATGTAGAGCATGTGCTCTAGGTCATTGAAATTTATCTCTGGGGGAACTTGATTTTAATTTAAGTTCTCCTGGAGTTCTTTCATGGTATCTCTTTGTTTCTAACATCAAACCAAAATAAGGAAGAATTGTAATTTGTTTATACTAAGCAATATGTTACTTAATAAAACTTAGTTTTCTATTTTGCCAAATGCTACTTTGCCAAATGCTGTAAGAAGAAAAAGAAAAATAGCAGTGCTGCATTCCTTGAAGCTTGGTTGACAGTACGGGGCTAGGGCAATTACAGTGGAATATCAGTCAAACTTAACATGAGATTAAAAAGCAGTGTACTATTTTTTTCCTGCTTTTTGGGTCACACCCAGAGATGCTCAGGGGTTACTTCTGGCTCTGCACTCAGGAATTACTCCTGGCGGTGCTTGGGGGACCGTATGAGATGCCGGGGATAAAACCCAGGTCGGCCGCGTGCAAGGCAAACGTCCTACCTACTGTGCTATTGCTCCGGCCCTGAAGAGTAGTATTTTAATACAAGTGATACTGAAGTATTTAGCCAACCTAAATGACCAACAATGACTTCAAAAATCATTTCTGTAGCAATTTAAGAATTAAAATATTCAGCCCAGGTCAGTAATCAGTGCAGCAGAGAAAGCAGCATAGAACTGGAGCTGAAGCCTTTGGGTGGTTAGGATTTAGGATCTTGTGCCTCCAGTGATGACTTTTTAACCTTATAAGACATCCTACATATTTGATAATAATGGTAAGGAGAAGACCTAGTTTCAGGAAATAGAAGAAGGCTATTTTTATACTATATCTAGATTAAAGCTTATTACCTCTTTGCTGCCATTTTTTCATAGCCCTTTAGGTTCCCGATTTATTCTTCATAATTTGCTTTTATTACTTAAAGATGCTGATATTCCACAGTTAAAATTTAATTTGGAAGAATATTAAGAGTTTGATGAAAATGCTTGATTTGAGTAGAGTTTACTTTTTCATAGGCTCCCAAATTCTTTGGTCTACCCCAACCACGTTTTAGGATGAAAGTAACTGTCTTCCCAGAATTAACTTTACCTTTTTTAAGTGAACAAATAGGAAATGCTCCACCACCAGTTGCATCTGAGGCTACTACTGTGCCCAGGTCCTTCAAGCAACCTCCTGGGGCAGTATTGTCCACTTAGGGAAATAGGTAAATTGTGATCACTGATAATTTGGAGCAGAAGCTCTAATTTTGCCCACTCCATGTTGTCTGTTAGGTATCTCAGTGAGGAAGGTAAATGGTACCAAGGATGGTACCTAATCTTAACATTATGCTACCCTCTCCCACCTTCACCTCCCCACATAACACATCTCAACGAGATTAATTTTGGATAATATTTCAATTGGCAGGGCTGGAGCGATAGCACAGCCGTAGGGCGTTTGCCTTGCACGCAGCCAACATGACCGACCCAAGTTCGATTCCTCTGCGCCTCTCAGAGAGCCCAGCAAGCTACCGAGAGTATCTTGCCCGCACGGCAGAGCCTGGCAAGCTCCCCGCGACGTATTCAATATGCCAAACACAGTAACAACAAAGTCTCCAATGGAGACGTTACTGGGCCTGCTCGAGAAAATCGATGAACAGCAGGAGGACAGTGTGATTTCAATTGGCAAAAAAATTCCATGGGGTGAAAAGTTTGCAAAGATTATTTTGGAATTAAAACAACAAAGCTGGTTGTTGAGGAGCATTTGTAAGTAGAGAAGCATTCAGGTAACTTTTTTAGGTGACATTTCTAATTTTGTTGGCTAAATATTTAAAGTGGTTTGTGATTAAAGTAATTCCTTTACTTTTTGTGACAAATCTGTGGTAAAAGTTTTTATGTATTCTAGGTGTTTTCTTTTTTGGTATGTGCATAACTTGACAATGCTGAGATCTTTTTTTTAATATTTTATCATAAAAACAGATAGTAAAATTACATGCTATTTCCTAATTATGACAGGTGAATTTATTTTCAATTAGAATCTGCTAGTAATTTTTTGTGTGTATTCTTATTTTATTTCCTAAATAGTTGAGGAAGATTGGAGGTGGGGGCTTTGGAGAAATATACGATGCCTTGGACATGCTTACCAGGGAAAATGTTGCACTGAAAGTGGAATCCGCTCAACAGCCAAAGCAAGTTCTAAAAATGGAGGTTGCTGTATTAAAAAAACTACAAGGTAAGGTACATGTTATAATAGTTAATAATTCATTCTTATCTTTATCATTTTGAATTCAGTTATATTCTGTAATTAACAATTGAATATTTCTATATTAGCTTGATATGAACCTCTCAAGAATTTTCTTGGAAATGTTACTATTAGTAGTGGAAATATTGGTTGCTTAGAGTAGAATTTGGTAAGGATGAAATATGTTTTGCAAAATGTTTTCATAAGTCTGTTATAAAACTTGCCCTTTTTTTTTTCTTAAAGCAACCAGTCATAAAGACCTGGGAGTTGTTTCTGTTTTGCTCTGTGGATATGAGACATTTGTACTTTTTCATATTAAGGAAGCACTGCTTCAAACAACTCTTCAGGATTTAGTTAAAAACAGTTTTCTTGGGGCCAAGAGATAAGTAGAGACAGGCTGAGCATATGCCTAGCATACAGAGGCTGGGGTTTGATCCCTGGGTTTTATTTTTTGCCTTGTAAGCTGCAGAGCACAAGCTGAGAGTAGGGAACAAGGGCGACTTAAAGGAGAGCAACTGCACCTCTCCTGCCTTTGATCCTTGAAGTCTGCAGTTGCTGCTTCAAAGTGTGGTTACTTTCTGGCCCCAGTCATGATATAAGAAGTTGTTTCTTGATTAGATTGCTTGTCTATCCACCGAAGAAGAAAGTTACTCCAAAATTCCTTGACCTCACCAATGTTCATCTGACTCCATCAGATGCTGTTAGAAGGTCTGAAAACTCCTTTTATGTGAGAAGTACCCTTTGTTTTACTCATTAACCTTTTATTAACCTACCATTTTCTTTTTGTTTGTTTGTTTGTTTCAACCTGTGCATTTTACTTCTTAAGTAACTTTTGCTTACCACAATTAAGATTCATCTGTTCCTTCAAAAGGTGCTATGAAATCTCTTGATATTATATCTCCTCATTCTGTTCATTTTAACATTTCCTTACTTGAAAGATTTACAATTATTTGCCAAATAGGGAATTTATCTATTTGGAAAATAGATATGTAGAAAACATATTAATTCTATATTTCATTGTTTATTCTTAGGCCACACCTGGCAATGCTCATGGTTTATTCCTGGCTCTGAGCTCAGGGATCACTCCTGGTCAGCTCGGGGGACCATCTAGGATGCTGGAACTCATACTAAACTGACCATATGCAAGGCTTCCAACCTTTTAATGTATTGCTCTAGCCCTCAATTCCAGATTTTTCTGCAAGAAAAATAAATGTAACATATGAACACATACTTTTTTGTGTATGGGTGCAAACCTGGCAGTGCTCAGGGGTTACTCCTGGCTCTGCACTCAGCAATCACTCCTGGCGGTGCTTGATGACCATATGGGATGCTGGGATCAAATGTGGGTTGGCTGCATGTAAGGCAGATATCCTACCCATGGTACTTTTGGTCCGGCCCCATACTTTTTTTGCTTTATATGCACAAAGAAAAATTTAGAATCATAAAAAACTCAAACCTTGTATTTGACTAATTTGGTATTGAAATTAGAGGGTCGGGAAAGGGTAGAATATTTTTTTTATTTTTTTTTTATAATTTATTTCTTTATTGAATCACTGTGGGAAAAGTTACAGAGCTTTCCGGTTTAGGTCTCAGTCATGTAAGTATCAAACACATTTCCCTTTACCAATACTTATTTTTAACCGTGAACCCCAATAGAACCCCACCTCCCACCCCTCCCAATTCCTGTGAGGCAGATGAGTTCTAGTTAATACTCTATCTACTTTGACTAGATACATTGTTTCGATAGAAGATGCACAATTATTGTTTAGAGTTTACGACCCCCCCCCCCCCCATCAGACATGCTGAAACAGCGTTGTGAAATGATTTGCTTTCTACAGCTTGGCTTAAGAATAAAATGATGTCGTGCGGCCGCAATAGTGGCCGCGCGGTTTTGGATTTCTGCTATTTTACTTATTAACCCTGGAAGAATTTCTATTAAAAGTTAGATAATTAAGAGATTGGTTTCTGTGCTCTGGAGTCGTGGCCGTGCCGGAGAGCCGCTCGTGGGGGGCAGCTGGTGACCTCGGTCGGGCGTGAAGGACAGCCCATTACGCCCCCCTTCCCATGAGGTCCCTGCCGCTCCCACCCCCGGCTCAAACCTGCTGTCCACAAGGCTCCCGTGCGGCCGCCATCTTTCTTTCCAGAGAGGATTCTAGAATCTTTTTTTAAAGATTTCCTTTTATAATCATTAGTTCTTAAAAAAATTTAAAGAGCCTTCTACCTGGGTACTAGAAGTCTCCACGCCCAATCTCTGCTATCTCTGCAGGCCCACATCCAGATCCCTGACCCTGTGCTTGCTTACTCATCTCCCAGGCCCACATCCAAACCCTGAGCACATAACTGGTTCACTGCTGCTTGTACCCTGAAGCACACATCTGTGTAAACATAAGCCAGCTCTACTTACTGCACCTCACACTGTCACGGGGTGAGGACCAGTAGGGAAGCAGAAGAGTAACACTCAGCATCATTCCTTAGAGAGCTTCCCCACAGAGAACTACAAAGATTCACCCTCAGAGCACCCACAGACATGATGGGAAGCCCCGTAGAAGTCTGCCACATTCAGTGAGTAAAGATAATTGCACAGAAGGCTCTACCAGTACAAACCAGCTCTATAACCTCTCAGATAATGAGTATAGAGATACCATCAAGAGGATGTTTAATGAATTCAGCGATGATACAGTGGTCAGTAAAGTACAAAAAAGCATAATCAGAAAAATTTAATAAACTATAATCAGAAGTGACAACGGAGGGGTTGGAGCGATAGCACAGCTGTTAGGGCGTTTGCCTTGCAAGCGGCAGACCCGGGTTCGATTCCCAGCATCCCTTATGGTCCCCCAAGCACTGCCAGGAGTCATTCCTGAGTGCAGAGCCAGGAGTAACCACTGTGCATCACCAGGTGTGACCCAAAAAGCCAAAAAAAAAAAGTGACAACTGAGAATATGGTAGGTAAAACTAAAAATTCAGTAGAAGACCTTGGCAACAGAGTAATAGGAGATAAGTGAGATTTATCTCCCAAATTCCAAGTTGGTTCAGCTGTGGTAAAGGTAAAGGTAAAGGCCCTCTCGTTGTTCATTGATTTGCTCGAGCGGGCCCAGTAACGTCTCCATTGGAGACTTTGTTGTTACTGTGTTTGACATACCCAATACATCATGGGTAGCTTGCCAGGCTCTGCCGTGCGGGCGAGATACTCCCGGTATCTTGCCGGGCTCTCCGAGAGGGGTGGAGGAATCGAACTCAGGTCGGCCATGTTGGCTGCGTGCAAGGCAAACGCCCTACCGCTGTACTATCATTCAGCTGTGAAAATCAGTTAATGTACTGTATAGGTAAGGTGTAAAGAACAAAAGATATATCCTTTAGTAAGTGGATAAAGTGGATATGTGTGAGTTCACAAAGCAGCATGCGGGTACTGCTACAACGCATGTGTGTTTGGTGGCCGAGAGCCACCTCCCATCCTCCCCAGGCCTCCTCAGCAGAGAGACAGAGACACAGGGACCACAGCCTGATGGTGAGAATGTCCCATTTAATGCAGAGCTGCTAGCATAGTTATAGAACATCTAAACAGGTCAGAGGTGTAGGACTGCATGTTCTTGTGATTTACAGAGGTAAAACATTCCATCAGACACAATTCTCGGGGGGAGATAAACCGGAAGGAGACACTCTGTCTCCCAGGGATATCTGTATTGCTTTTCCCTTTCCTTCTAGTCATATGTATCAAACAGTTAAGTCATACAGTTAGTCAAACAATTAATCCTACTTCTTACCAGTACTTGCAGTCATTTGGATAAGCACAGTAAGAGATAAAGATCCCAAAACTTAGTTCTCTGGGCTCTGAGAGCAAGCAAGGCTTTTACCAAAAATCCCAGACGAAGTCCTCAGGTCAGTTCAGCTAGGCCTTCCCCATGGGGGTCCTGTCTCTTAAGTCATAACAGCTTGCATCAGGATCATGCATTTATGCTTTGTAGAATGTCCCATTTTGATGCTGGGGTAGCTTTGCCACCCACCCCAGGTCCATCCCAGTCCCATGGCGGGACTTCCCTTTTGAGTGTTAAGAACTATAGCAACTGAAGCCTGAGTCAAGTCATTATGACCATGCAATTATGCCCAAGAGTAGATATATTTCAGAGTTAATCAACTCCCAAATATTAGGAGCATAGCATTAAGGTCTTTCCAGGTTTAACCACTATATAGTAAAATATGAAAAGGCTATAGGGGAAATAGAAAAGCAAGCAATTCCTATAAATACAAAATTCAGAATTACCAGAAAGTTTTGACTTTTAAGTAACTAAGATTGACTTGGGGAACTGTGACAATGAGGTGTAAAACAGAAAAGTTAAAGATAAACTCAGGGGATTAGGGATGCTCACAAGATCACTGTAAGCCTCGCTGGGAGAAGGAAAAGGGGCAATTCACAGATGAAGCCTAAAATATCTTTGGTTAATATCCAACGGATATGGATAGCATTATTCTGAGTGAAGGTAGTCAGGAGAGGGCAGACACAAAATGATCTCTCTCATACATGGGATATAATATAAACAAACATGGTAGGGAAGTAACAAGAGGAAATAGAAATTGAGAACTGATTCCCAGTAGGAAACTTGAGGGTCGGGAGCCAGGGAGACACCGGAACAGTGGTGAAGAGAAGTGGACAGTCTGGTGAAGAATATTGGTGCTGGAAATTTTACATATGAAACTTAATACAATAGTAGCTTTGTAATTCATAGTCACTGTCACTGTCACTGCCCTCCCGTTGTTCATCGATTTGCTCGAGCGGGCCTAGTAACTCAGTAATTCATAGTGCTTAATATAATTTTCTCTTTTTTTTAAAGCCTCCACTTAAAATTCTAATACCCTTTTATGAAAAAATACTAAAAATATAAGAATGAATGTTTATTTGTTTTTGTTTGGGGGGCCCCACCCAGTAGGATTTAGAGCTTACTCCTGGCTCTGTAATCAAGTATCACTCCTGGTGGTATTTGGGGTACCATATTGGG